CAGAAAAAGGTTTGAACACATATCCCTGAAAGTTGGTCCGAAAGATTGATCGAGGAAGAGACTGGGATGGGGGTGACAAAATTGGGTTGCAACAGCAGTAATACAACAGGAAATACTTCACTTGACTTCAAAATAGCATAGTGAGGTTTGCAAAATAGATGTACACATCGCAGGAAGAATTCTGTTCATATATCAGCCAGTTTCAGATGTAATTACTACAAGTACTTGAGCGGATACATTGTGGAGTGTTTCAGTTGTAACTCGTGAAGGAGGACTCGCGAGAACTGTAGCGTCGCTGGTATTTACCCTCCTGACGAGACCATGAACGGGTTGAACGATAGTTATCGTAGGATTCCCTTCGTTCAGTGAATCTGGATAGAAAAAAGGAATAGTCAGGTACCGTCCACGAAGGTCAGCCAGAGAGGAATGATACGTGGTAGGAAGAGTAGCACAACTTACGAGATTTTCGTGCGCGCCTTCGGTTTGACGTCTACTCGTGTGTGCAAAACCAACGGTTCCTCACTGGCGGCCACGGACGGTTGGATCGTGAGGGTGTAGCGACCGGCGTCGTTGGACATGGTCTGATCAATTGTAAGACAGAATTCGCCTTGTAGGTTGCGGGTAATTCGTCGACGGCCATCAAAGGCGAGAGTGCGACCGCCTTTTGACCAGGTGGCTGAAAAGGTGTCATCAAGTAAAGCTGTTAACTTCATTCGGCTTCTATTAAAAATGGTACTACTGACAGTGGTATTTAAGTAGACGGTTGCGTGCACGACCAAATCCAAAGCGGTAAATAGGAACTATAGTTATAATGAGAGGACTGAGGACTCTAACATACCAGCCGGATGAGTCAGAAAGCCAATGGAGTCGCTAATCGCCTGAGGACACAATCTGATTGGTTTAATCTTGTACACGCGTTTGCCTGCCTTAAATACGCTGTACTAGGTGTGCTGAAAGACTTCAATGTTTGCGTCCTTCTTGTTTTTGCCTTCCTTGGGGATTCAAACAAGGCGTAATTAGAGGGGGACGTCTCGGCTTTGGTAACATTACAAGAGTAAGGACTCAAACGGTATTTTTCGACGCATTCATACTGTTGCAAACGACCACTTACTCTGCATCGCCGCTTCCAAACTTCCACTCCAGGACCTAAGAGAAATACTCGGCGGCCAGCTGCTAACCAGCAACAATCCGATGGTCAAGTATACCTAATTTCAAGACTCCACATCCAACGGCTGAGACAGCATGTGTCGATTCAGCAAAACGGGGATCTGTCAGGACACAGAGGACAACCGTTTGCGGTACCAAAACGGTGGTACCTTACGCTCCTCCTCATCCCCCCCCCCCTCGGTGGTCACACACTTCTATCATGCGCTGATCTGCTCAGAGAGCTGTAAATTAATCACAGAAGGACTGAGCACCCCGTGTCCTAGTCAAAACTACACAGGTCCACCTTCCCTGTCGATACTTGGCACACATGCGTAGGCTTCGCATAGGCTTACTCAGTAATATATACGTATGCACGAATTAAACATCACCCGTGACGCACAAAATGAGTAGGCTACGAAACTACTGAAATTTGTAGTATCAGCTGACGCGCATGACACACTTCAGACGGAGGTTTTACATCAGGTCACTGACGGAGCCCAACTTCATCCCTATTCGAGTTGAACCGGACTTACCAGCTCTAAGGCCCCCCACTAAAGACTACG